AAAAACAATGTAACAGTGGTCATAGGAACTGTGGCATATGTAGAAATGTATAGCAGCCAAAAACTCTAAACGTGCGATGTTGATTCTAAATGTGGAGAGGAAAACCGCAGGACCCGGAAAAAAATCCACACGTCGACGAGGAGTGAGACACGCAGACTCCAAATATAGAGACGTCAGGGTCGCGATCGAACCCACGACCTCCTGTATACCAGGTGAGGTAGCTAACATAACGCCACATCAGTTAAACAACCCCATGATCAACAAGGCGTGGGGAAGCCTTCATCAAGCATCAAATTAATAAAGGGTTTTCAATCATGTATTCTTATTTTAATTTTAAATTCTACTGTAGTCCATGCATATAGTATTGTAAAAGTACCGAACCAACATATATTAAGTTCGCAGAGGCAGACTTGGCAGCAGTGAGCATCTGTGACTGTACTGCACTGATGAGTCCTAATAATGACGATGCCAGTTCACGGCTACCTGTTGGTTGATCACATTTGCTCAATATATTGATGGCAAAATATGACAAGATGACCACAATGCAGTTCTTCAGGAAGTCGTAGGCTTGCCCAATCCATAGCTTGAGAGCGTTTGTATATTACGTGCACGTTTTTGTGTGTTATTGAAACTATTCGTTCTACTTTGCCAATAATTTACTCAACTTTATATGAGACCGGGACTGCGCTATGAACCAATAAGTAATAAAACCACTCACAAGAGCACTTGGAATTACAATAGAAAGATTTCCGAAAGGAATTTTTGATGATGGATGGTCAGGAAATGCATGTGAGAAGATATTACACAACTACAGTAAGCTAGCAACTGGCAATAAAAAAATTGGTCATTTAATGGAGAGTCTAAGGATCAGTGAAGGAGAGCGGCTTCTCATCGCTGTCTCTCAGCAAGTCAAGCTGGCAGTCCTCCATGCTCTCTGCCATAATAATAATATCTCCCTTTATTAACGTATTAAAATAATATACGACTGACAGAGGAATTGAAATAAAACTTTAACGGGAATAAATGCCTTCATAAAAATGACAAGTGCGATGTTACTCGTGCCGTCCCAAACAATCGCCGTTCAGCATTTCACCCTCGGCGGGCATGATCGATCTGCTGCTGGATGAGGCCTCCTCCCCAAGCCGCACGGTCGTGCGACGCACCAATCCGTTGCGCTTGAAATGCCACACGCCTTCAATTAGCTTGTAAAAGTACCAGCGTTTATGATCTACGTTCTAGCCGATTCAATTTCGTATACTACAGTAAAACACTGCTAAATATTCAATCTTTGTGCCTGATTGAAGGCCAATTTTATTTAAAACTTTTTCAGAATTTCACCAATAAATGGGAAAATCCACGAAGCAGGAGTTAGCCTGAATCAAGACGATTTCACGTGTCAAATGGACTGACTCCCATCTTCATACATATGTTGGGGCTTTCTTCGTGTGGCAGTTTTGTTTTGGTAAATAGTTTTTATTATTAAAAACATTTGTAAATATTTTTTTAGGCCTTGGTTTGTGAGAGTTTGGATGACTGCATCAAATGTCTACCAAATCGAATGCAGATGTAATTGTCTACAAAAGCCAGACATAATGGTAATTAATATCCTTTGGTCTTTTCCAGAACCTGATCAAGAAGTTTGCATGCAGCCAAACATAGAGAAACATTTCCCTAACCTTAATATTTTGTTATTCGCTTCCCAATGATCTTCGTAAACAATGCATACGCATTTGATTAAAATCAAACCCTATGTAGTTCCTCGCTACGCCAATGTGTCAACATTCACGTGAAAACATTCTAATAATTTTCCAATAATTGGTGCCATTTCTTTAATCAAGCGTCGCCCTATAAGCAAGTGTTTCTTAACCAAACCAGTGGGACCAAAAGGTTACGGCCCCTTTTTTAACACACCTTCGGTAAATGGTGTTGCACCACACACACACACACGGCACTTGGATAGCTATCACAACTGCGAAAATACACTCTGTCCGTTTGCTAGGTCAACAGTATCACTCTTGCTCAAAGAAAAGAAAACCCGCAACTAACCCCTCCAGAAACACGGAGCGACGACTTTGTGCCTTGAGAATCAAGTGTCAGGTGACCTGAGTTCACATCACATGTAAAGGCACTTGAAACGTGTTTTCATAACATATGATCTATAGAATTGTTTAATTTTAATATAGATGTTTTTCCCCCTCCAAATATATTGCAAGTGTGCTATCACACCGTGCTACATCCCAAAGAATACATTTACAAATCTTGAGGAGGAATGAGCAGTGTTTGAGAATGGCTCTTCCAAAACATATATTCGAGTGGCCTTTTCTATCCTTTCCATAGTAGGGGTCATTGTTTTACACATGCTCTGCCAAACTGAGACAGTATTTTATATTCTCAGGGCTGGAAAGCAGCCACATTACCACTGAATTAAATACAATGGGGGTTTTTCCTGTCATACTGCATTTTAAAACCTTGCCCAGATTCAAACCCAAGATCTCAGCAATCGTAGCTCAGCACTCTGACCTCAGAGCCACATGAGGTAGAGAAGACAACTAAGGGGACATCATTACACGCCTTGTATATACACTCAGTCTACGTGAACATGTTCGGCACATTTGTCAACCCACTGCTGGATGAGAGCCTCCCCCACGCTGTGCAGGTCGTAGGGGTTACTTTCAGCGAAAGTTCCCCGAAGTGGTCAGAGCGGGTTAGTGGACGCAGGCAGCTGGGATGCGGTTGAGTAGAACTAAAGTACAACAATAGAGTACGTTACCCTTCACGACCCTGTACTGGTTCTCTGCAATCGTTGCTGCTGTGGTCACTTCACTACGGAACCTTCCAATGTAAAATAGTCGAGAAACTGGATAAACGGGATCCTCCGTAGAAGACAAAAAAAACGTCAAACATCACTTCGCCCCACAGCCTATAACAACCTGACCAGCCTTGGTCACCCATCCAAGCGCTATACAGGCACTATCCAGGCTTAAGCCTGCATATCTTCCGATATCGGATTCCTTTCAGGGTGATTTGGTCATAGGCGCGCAGTACAAATGATGTCTAGCTTGGGAGAGGGGGGTAATGTCTAGGTGGGATAGAATAGAGAGAAGTTCAACGGAGCCGGAGAGACTCATAAAGCAGAAGTCTCTTGCGAGGTGAGCAGTAAGCAGAGTGTTAGGTAAGGAAGGAAAGAGCAGTATTGTCGTGAAACCCCAAATGTAATATACTTGCAGTCCCCGACTTATGAACGGGTTCTGTTCCTGAGACCTGCTCGTAAGTGGGGAACGGTTCGTGCGTCAGACCACGATAACGCAGTGCTGCATTTATTTGGCCATACGGCCAGTGTCATAAAATGTGTCGCAGCTCAACAAAAAGGGAAGCATTGCTAATTTAATAAATAATGCGAAATATCGTACACTCACATGTAACACCGTGATAAATACTGTATAGACAGCAAGTCGATGGTTTAAAATAAATGCTGCCTAGCTTGTCAGTAGGGGCAAAATGAGTCACCACAATTACACATAACAACAAACTGGTGGGGCAAGTCCTGTTTGCGAAAACCGTCACGGCACACAAGGGGGTGGGTGACCATCACCACGCCTGTGACTGCCTTTGACTCCCCAGTGGCGATGATTACACACCGCACCAGGTACGTACTCATTTGAGGCCGAGTCGACCTAAGGGAGGCCCAGGTACCCATTTGACCACAGCGCCGCTAACTGCTGCACTATGCACACACACGCACACTCACTTCACACACACACGCACTCACTTCACACACGCACACGCACTCACTTCACACACGCACACACACACGCACTCACTTCACACACGCACACGCACACTCACTTCACACACACGCACTCACTTCACACACGCACACACACACTCACTTCACACACACGCACTCACTTCACACACGCACACACACACTCACTTCACACATGCACACATACACTCACTTCACACACACACGCACACTTCACACACGCACACTCACTTCACACACGCACACACACACTCACTTCACACATGCACACACACTCACTTCACACACACACGTACTCACTCACTTCACACACGCACACACACACACTCACTTCACACACGCACACACACACTCACTTCACACACGCACACACACGCACGCACTCACTTTACACATGCACACACACGCACGCACTCACTTCACACACGCACACACACACGCACTCACTTCACACACGCACGCACTCACTTCACACACGCACACACACTCACTTCACACATGCACACACACACTCACTTCACACATGCACACACACGCACGCACTCACTTCACACACGCACACTCACTTCATACACACACGTACTCACTTCACACAAGCACACACACACTCACTTCACACACGCACACACACACTCACTTCACACACGCACACACACGCACGCACTCACTTTACACATGCACACACACGCACGCACTCACTTCACACACGCACACACACACACGCACTCACTTCACACACGCACACACACTCACTTCACACATGCACACACACACTCACTTCACACATGCACACACACGCACTCACTTCACACACGTGGGAAGCTGGGACTCATTCCATCTCGCAGAGGATCGTTCCACTGAAAAAAATAGTTCTGCGGTTCGGTTCGCACGTGCGAGTTCACTTTCGCAAGTCGATGGTAAAAAAAAACTAAACATCTCATGGAAGCTCGTTCGTTTGTAAGTCGACGACTTCCTGTAACGGGATCTTTTGTGCAATCATTTCAGATCACTACACGAAAGAGAAGCTACATCCATGAATCGAACCTATGCTCTCGGCGGTAATGGCTCAGCACAGTGACCTCTGAGTCCCTGTACCACCTCCCTTGCTGTTACGTTTTTTTCAATGGTATATTGTTCCCATGTTCTAAGTTCGTTTTGCACAAAGTCACACGCTTACACTTATTCTGAATTAACACGGTCGATTTAGAAATTAACGTTAACATGATTTACTCACGCTTTGATGTCCTTGAGGCTTGCAGTCACACTGTCCAGGCTGCTCCATGCTTTAGCGTCAGTCAGTGCCATCAGAATGGACGATGCATCCTTAACACCTTGCCAGCTGTATTCACTCTGCTTCTGAACTCCCTCCAGCATCAATATGCCGTCCTCTATCTTCGTGAGCATTGACGAGTTCACATTTAACAGCAGATCCATTATCTAGACACAAGAGAAGCGCTCTCAGATTAAATTGTGCGTGAGGCATTACGCTCTAAGGACACAGAATCGGCGACTCAAATTCGTTTCAAGAGAGAGGCAGGGGCACAACCACTGCGTGGATGACATTCATGATAATTGTGTTCATGACGAAACCCGTGTACGTACAGCAGCGCACAGATGATGGTTCAGTACTCGGTCAATAGCCAGTAGCTGTGTAAATGTGATACAAGTTATAGTTTGGTAGAAGTCTTATTCCTGATGGAGTGGGGCAGAGTGTGGGTTGGAGAAGCGAGCCAATCCCTGTAACGCATGGAGCCATGAGCCATGAGACGCTGAGAGGACTTCAAAATGCCCACAATGCAACAGTGGCCCTGCCGTCGGCGATAACTTATCAGGTCTATTTCGTAGATTCATAAGAGCCAATGACATCAACTGGTGAATTGCATGGTTCGGCAACGTTTATACCAAAGGCAACGTGTATATTTCAAAACGGATGGGTAATGCTGTGATACAAATATTCGTGAAACTGTTACAAACATTTGGAATTGATATGGATAAGGTGATGAGTCTCTGTGCCGAAGAAAACCAGCTCCACACGTCCATGGGTTTCAGTTGTCAGACAGAGAAAACCTATTTGCTACATTAGAATGCAGACAGTCCACTGTTAAAGTAATTGCAAAGAGACCTTCAGTGCCAAATATAACAAAATGGGAAAAACAAAGTCTCGCATCATTCCTGCTGTTTTGCACATGCGCGCATTGCAGCACAATTATACAATTAATTACCTTGGTGACGTTGAGGGCTGTAACTGTCTGGTTTAATGTGTTCAGTGCTTCCACCAACAGGGACTGATCGCTATTGCACCAACTTTGCATGGTGCTGTTGAAGGTTGGCAGCGAATTGGCGATGAAGTACTTCAGCTCATAAATGCTGAGCTGGGACGACAGGGCTGTCGTAATGTTCTCAGCCATCCCAGTCAGCTGAGAGCACCAAAGCATCTTCATATTCTGTGCAAAAATCATCCCATCCTGCCCCGTGTATAAAAAAACACCGTTTTAGAAATCAACGAAGGTACATTGTTTAGCTGTGTACGTGGAGATTGGCCAACGCTTGACATCATGGGCTAGACAGCAAATTAAGAAAATGCAAGCCCAATGCAAGTAACCAACTGGCGTAAAAGGAACGACTTGATGCTTGGCATGACCTATATCAGGTGAATGTGCTACTCATACAGCTTGTAACGGATGGACAAAAGTACTGGCAATGGATTATGGATGCCATGTCACAGATAAACATGGCAAGTGTACTTCACAGCCCTGCCAATCAATTGCTGAAGCTCCACGCCCCCAGCCCTGTCAGTGAGTGTGGGGTTATTTCTATACACTTTAAACAACGCTCGTGAGTGCAAGTTGATGAGGTGAGGGGGAAAGGGGTTAGAATCAGTTCAAATAGCAATCGCCACTGATGCAATTAGGGAGGCATTCATCCAGCAGTGGATAGCCAATAGCTGCTGATGATTATGATTTTGCAGAACAATCCTACTGGGTTCTTATACTACCTATAAAACTCCAGTCACGTGTTCTGGTTTTGGTAGTGTTATTATTATTATGATGATGATTAAAATGAATCGATGTTTTGCTTACCATGTTGAAGCCGGTGGATGACAACACGCGTCCAAGGAGAGTGTGAGACAGGTTTCTCCACAGAGCTGGGTATTCACCCAGCTCACCCAGCTCTGTGCCATTGGTGGCATCCCACACTTGGGTGAAATTCACCTCTACGGGAGCAAGGCCACGTGAGAGAGAGAAGGCATCAATCGTCGGTGTTCAACATTCACAGTATGCACGTCTACAGAGCGCGCACGCAATGCACTCGCGATGGTATTGCAATCTAACGTGACGACGACGCGCCAAATGGCAACGGTTTCAAAGAGCAACTCTGCAATGTTCACACGGAGAGCCGGCAATAACCCTCCTTTAGCTTCGATAAGCGCTATTAATGTCACAAATACAGGCGACGCGGCACCTGCAGAAAAATGGTGGAGTCAGCGTCACATCTTGGCACGCGCGCCTCGCTGTATTCGTACCAATGCATTAAGAATGTTGGAATAGAGTATTTACAATGTATTAACATTCTACACGAATGTTACATTTAGGGTAATCGAACAATGCATATACCACTAAATCAGGGCCTAGTCCTCTTGTGCTTGACGGAAGATAATAGTATGAATAATCTACTTCAAGAACCTGCTCCTTGGTCACCTGAGGTTAGGTAAATTCCACAGATAATGACCACAGATGATAACCACAGAATTGTACAAAAATTCCGTGGTGTTTCCTCTTATCCATCCACAATCTATAATAATATGAGCCAAGAATGTCTGTGTGTCCCGCTCGTGACGTCACTCCACGTCGACCAGCCCCCCTCATTAATAATCATGAACAGGTGACGTCCTCCAAATGGACACCCCCCTCATTAATAATAATTAGCGGGTAACGTCACTCCACATGGGGGGGCGAGGCGCCTCCTCCCCCCTCCTCGGCGTCAACTCACAACCCTCACTACAAAGGCAGAACCCTCACGTCACGTGATCTCCGTGACGCTGTTGAGACATCGAAGTAAAAAGGACGTCATGATGAACAAGGGATTATAACCTTAAAATGAAATAGGTCTGTGTCACTGAACCCTTACAAATTGCACACGAATGGATGCAATGGATATCACGTCGCGGTCTGCTTTTCGCTTGCAAGTTTCAGATTTACTGCAATACACCCGTCCTTGGATGGGCAAAAGGCTAGTCTATAATAACTTGACACATTTGGCATACTCGTGTGAGACCACTGCCAGGTTAATTTGGGTTGGGTAAATCCTGTGAATAGACGCAGATAATATGATGACTTTGCCGAGACTTCGGGGTTACTTCTCTTGCCTACGCTTTTGCACGGAAAAGCGGAAAAATACACACGGATATCACTGTGTCACAATTCTTTTTTGTTCATGGGTAGTAAGTGTTATTTCTTAATTGCTTATGCCTAAAAAGTGCAGAAAATGGCTATTATACCCCACAAACTTTGCTTTTGTGACCAGGTCAGTGATATTTTGAAATGTACCTATTTTCAATTAAAAAACTTATGCATTTGTGTCATTCCTTCACGTAAAGTCCTGGTCACAAAAGCTAAGTTTGTGGGGAATAATAGCCAATTTCTATACTTTTGAGGCATAAGCAATTGTAAAATAACACTTACTAACCAGGAACAAAAATCGTGTTACATAGTGTAATGAGACGGATCCAATGGATTACTTAAAGGATACAGATAATATAATAAATCGGTATAGGATTGTGGATCAGAAGAGTTTCACTGTCATAAATTACTTTCTTCGCAAACCCATTCCAGTGATTCATAGTTTCACAAAAAGGCAAATTCTGTTCCTTTGTTTGTTTGAAACCTTCTACAGATAACATCCAAATTGAACAACATTGCACAGTAGAGAACAACGCACCGAGTTGTCTTAAGATGCGGTCCACGTCCTGCTGCAGCCTCGGCATTTCTGCGTCCACCGTTTGCCTGTGCAGCCGCACTAGCTTCATCGTCTGAAACACCATGGCCTCGTCCGGCCCCGTGCCTTGGTACAGTAAAGACCTGCGCGTGGGCAAAGAGGGCAAATGTCCCGCTGTGTAAGTGCCACACGGAGTGGGAGGGGGGGCATCGTGCGTGCGTGCGTGCATTAGGGGGTACAACTTGCGCATCTACCAGTCATCTCAGTCAACCAACCCATGGCACCTGCTGGGTCTGTCCCGAGGCCTCCTGTCAGCGAACCTCCGACACTTCACGTGGCCTCAAAGTGCACCTGGCCTGGCACAGGCGCCGTGGTGACGTCACCGTCACTTAGTGGCGACTGGTGGTTATTGGCAGAGCTGCCCACGTGGAATTCGAGGCGCCGTTACCTCAACCGCTGTCCATCCCTCATTATACGGCAACTCGATATACGGAATTTCGCTATTACGTAACTTGTAAGTTAGGGAACTCATTCGATATGCGTTATGTTAAATTCGCATTTAGGGAATTTTTTTATCTTTGAATTATATACAAAAAATTATTGTGGAATAAAAATTGAACAATGCACCCTGTCTGTCGTTTGTCCAAATGTGCATTTCACCAAAGTTTCGACTGGTTTGGACCTTTAAAGTCAGATTTGTTAAACAAATGCTCTATAAAAACAAATCAATAGTATACACATACTTAATTTGTGGTGCTCATTTATAGTCAAGGTGTGGTGTCCCTTTGGCATCGGACCACCAATCCCAGTTGTGTGGGTGTTTGGTGTGTGAAACTCGAGTACCCATGGATTACCCACGCATGTGACGGGTAATACAGCTCCTCAAAGATATATTTAACAATCTATTGTGATGCAGCATTGCCATGGCAACCTTGCAAGCCAAGCCGACATCACCTCGTATTCCCATAGCAGTATACCATTCGAGTACTCACCAGACTCAAACCTGTGTAGCTTCCAAGGTAGGATGAGGTCAGTTTTTGGTGTGAAGATGTAATGGAAATATATGGCAGCATATTATCTGAAAGCCCCACTGCGGTAACATATCAATGTTGATTCGTTGTCTTGTTGGGATTTAACGCTGTTTCTATTGTATTTCTACAGCATTTATTTGAATATATCGAATAATTACAGCTTAAAAGTATGTCCTTATACTCAAATGATTGTGGGGCAGTGACCACATCGTAGTCCTGAGCCGGTGGTGTAGCCAGTGGTGGAAATATGACATTCCTATGGCAACCCTTGGTCTCTCTAAAGGACACCCACAGTTCATCCTCCACAACCCTGGCAGGGATTTCAACTCAAACGTGAGTAAAGGCATTCCACGTCAAAGCACCACCGGGACGTATAATAAATAAATAAATATGCATACTCTTTGGTTCTTTCGGTAAAGTCACGTAGGTAGAAAAATCGAATAAAAAATAATATATTACGACGTTTCGATCGCAACACAAGCGGTTGTCCTCAGGCGGAAAAAAATAATCCAGCAGTGGAACTGCTGAACCAGCGAGAGAGCTGTTACAACAAGAGGTTAAATATGTGGCGAAGGGCAAGCAGGCCGGGTCTGAGCTGGAAAGGAATTCCATCCCCGGACGCAAGCACGTCATTAGTGTTAATGGGGGAGCTACACACAGATATTAAAATTGTCCAATTACATTTTCCTAAGTTGCACATCACCCTGGTCTCATGCACTGACCTTGACCTTGAAGTGCTTGAGTGCAGATAGCTGGTGTTCTTGCACTCTGGGGCGGAGTCACAAACCAATGACTGCAGGAAAGGGAAAAAGCCTCCGCTTGGCAGTGTCTGCGCTGGCAGGTAACCTGCCGGAGGGAGAGAGGTGGACAGCCGAAAGTTGACATTGCGGAACACGTGGCCGCATGTGTAGACAGCCTCCGAGTGCATTCTCAGCACAGTTTTTATTCTTCATGATTTCAAGCAATTTTTTTTCTCCTGGAAGCAGCTTTCAAATATAGAGGCATGTTGTTATTAAATATTGTTCTGTGTGATGAGGTTTCAAATGCTTGCTTGACTTGTTATATGGTTGCCTCAGCTGCAGTCATGCAAAGTCGAGCAGTTAAATCTTACGCGGCAGGTAACATACCGTGATAAAAAAGCCTCTTATTCAGAGGCATCATTATGTTCGGGACTAACGACGGAGTGACAGCCAAATGAGTGCACACGGCCGACAGGACATTCACCGCAGAGATGGACCGGTTCAGATATCACATTGACATTGATGTTAGCCATGGCTGGGATTCAAAGTCAGGTGGCCTGATTCATACTGGAGAGCAATAACCACTGCACCACCACTTCTTCCACCAGTTAATAAAGAATAATTAATACATTTCAGTCCCATTATCAAATGATCAAATTCACTGTGGGGAAACCAAAAATAAGTTTTGAGAAGCCTCATTAAGTTTTTTTCCGGAGCAGAGACAATAAATGTTTTCTTCCCAACTTGAGCCAAGGAATCATGGAACTCAAAAGCAGTTTCTGATCCAGTCTCACATAAATACCCTGTGCTTGAATAGTTGACCCTATATAAGGTAAGGTTCACCTGTTTATGTAAAAACTATATTTTGAGAAGTAACCCTGCTATTATGTTTTAATGTAATTGTAGGTATTTGTTACATGTATCCAAATTATTGTCATTTCCAATCGCAGGCTTACTCAATAGGCATGATTCACTTGCACCTCAATCATTGACCTCTCACAACTCAGGGTTACAAGTCACAACTCAGGGTTTACGATTCAAGTCAAGAAATATTTGTTTTATCTGTAATTTCACTTGTGTCGTTGTATAATTTCTCAAATGTTCTGCCTTATTTGCAATGTCGTATTCACTCATTTGGCCTCGATGCAAGGTTGGTATCTCTCGTGCACATGATATGCATACATCATAATACTATTGTCTGATAATGTCCTGTACAAACTATTTAAAGTGTGCCTTGTGAGCATAAGAATTGATTTCAAGCAATGAATGAAAAAAAATGTACATTCATAGTACTCAAGATAACATCAATTTTAGTTCTGTGGTCCATCAGTATAGTTTGCAGGGCACTTACATGCAGATCTTTGTTGAGGGGGGCTTTGAATTCGCAGGATGGCGATGATGATGAATAGGATACATGGCCACACCACGACTGATATTGGCAGAAACTGCACACACAAAAAAACACAAACGCAGTATCGACTATTCGTACAAATGTATACATTGATTTCTCACACTTAAAATAACCAAATAATAACAAGTCGAGAAGTGAAGCTATCAGATCTGAAAGGTGTACGTTTGTAAAATGATGGTTTGTTATTTAATTGATACATTTTGAGGAAGAGGTGTGAATACTCACACTTTACTCCACCACAAGTTCCGTGACGATTTACGAATTGTCACTGACTTCATGAGATAGTTAATGCAATAACTGCAAAAATCCGGTGTGAAGAACTACGCATGTTAGAACCATCAATATCAGAGAAACGTGCGGTGTGAATTTCAGTAAATACGCACGTAAACACCCATTAAAGCAATGCAATTTAAAGGCACATGCTGGACCAAAAAAAAAATAAGACCTCAGTATACCACCAAATGCTTGCTAAATTATTTCCACAGAGACAAGATATTGCACAATCGAGGTTTTTATGGGGCCCAGCTATTTCAGTATCCCAATGAGTGGGTCTCGAATCCAGGAAGGGCGTAATCTTGCTGCGATAGGGAGTGTACAAAGTGCCGCTGGCAACAATGTCGGTTCACAGTAGTCACAACATCTGGCTGACGGCAGTCATCATTCAAGGTTCAGAAATTTTTATCAAAAAATATTTCACAAATGATGACAGTCTCATCTATTATTTCAAGCCCGATCTGGCGGTGTAAATTTCAGATTCCTATGGCAAGGGTGAGCCATTTTTAAATCCTTTATATTAAGTTAACTTGCTTGCTTGCGTGCTTGCGTGCTTGCGTGCTTGCGTGCTTGCTTGCTTGCTTAAGACCGTGCAAATCTTTCGGTCGTTTTTTAACCCACTTCCCGTGATCCAATCGAGCTGACATTTTGCACATAATTAATTTTCGTGAAAATTTTTTCCCAAAATTTTACACTGTTTAGGGAAAATTTTTTACATATTTATTTACCAATTGCTTAATGGTGGCAGACAATCATCTGACCCAATAGGTGGCAGCCATCTCAAGCCAGAGGACGAGAGGACTCTAGCCGCCCGTTTCAAAGACCAATGTGGGCTGGGTTGTGGCCCATTGAACACGCATATAAAGGATTTATAGTGAAAAACTTTGTTTTTACGGGTACATTTTTCGTGTTTGCTTTTGTTGTCCTTCCCCCCGCATCTCCGATTAGCACGGTTAGCTACGTACGGTGCAAAAAAAATTGCAGGAAGTCAATAATGCATAACAAGCACTATTGACTTCCTGCAAAGTGGTACTCATTTTATGAGCCATTTTAAGGGTAAGTCAAAGCCAGAACAAAGCCAGAACAGTATTTAAACGTTCAGCCTTCCCATGCTACTTGTACAGCAACTGCAACACCCATTTGAACAATATAACTGCAATGCAGTAATATTAAACCAACACAAAGAGAGAGACTAATTTTCACAGTAACTTTAAACAAGAACTATTATCTTAGATTTGAATTATTTTAGCCCATTATAAGTCACGACGGCACTTTCAAAGTGAATATTGCACTGTGGTTCCCTGTAATTGGTAACTGCCATGCGTATGCATCTGGTTACTCTCCAAGTGAATTGAACGCTCTTCAAACGTGCGCCGTCATTGAACAACTGCACGTTGAAACGCCGCCCTTGCTGGCACTTGTGAACGGATAAAGGTCGCACAGCGGGCCGAGGGGGGCGAGGACTGGGCAGCATCCACGCGAGTTGGCACCTCCTCGTCCGGGCACCGGGAACCGTGCCACGTGGCGCGCCGCGCGGCACGCGCTCGGATGAGTGAGCGTCATGCCACAGGACAAGCCCTGGAACCCGAGTCAACTCGTCTGTGGAGCTCGGCAAGGACTACAATGGCCTTTTCATTTAACTGTACGCTAGCGATGGAATTAGTTGTCTTCTGATTGTTTGTTTTTCACAGAGCACGCAGAAACACAGTTAAATTATTCATAAATTAAAGTACATACATCAACAAACGTCATTATTATACTGCTGCTAATCCTGCATAATGCACGGGCATAAGTAGTACTAATCACATACCTGCATTTCCCATAAATATGCTAAATTCGTCTTGATTTGCAAATTTCTTTGTCAAGGCGCTCTTCCCCCTCCAACCCAGCTAAAATATACGCTGCCAAGCCTGGTGGTGTTCATTCAGACGCTGTCTTTCTGACAGACCTGTTCTTCACCTGAGGACGGCTGCTTGCGTTGTGGCCGAAACGTCGTGAGAATAATTTTGTTGTTTTATTTTTATTATTTTATTATTTCCATTCTACGTGACTTTACCGAAAGAACCAAGAAGATATATAAGGGACTTTCGATTTTTTATAATTTTTTTGCAATTTCACATGTTTTAATGAAAAGTAGATCCAGATGTTGGGATCTTTTACAATATTTATCTATACTGGAGTTCTTTTCTTTTACAGATGTCCAGTAATTATGTAACAATTGAATGTGTCGTTGTGCTGGAAAACAACTGATCTCAACGGCAGTCGCAGTAGTATCCATGGAGACAAGCCTATTGTTTACGTGTGTGGATTCCCCTTGCAGGCACCACCAGCTCGCCGCATGCTTTGTAACCGCTGTCTTTGCACTGCGCATACCGGGGTCCGCAGGAGCGTCCACCCGTTCTTCCAGCTCAGGAGGCGGATCTGTTGAAGCAGCGCCATTGCTCCCCTGGCACAATGAACACACACGTTTACACAGTAGACCACAAACAACAAAAGGTTAAGTGTGTGTCTATACGTTGAACTTCTTCCGCACCGTACGTAGCCAACCGTGCTAATCGGAGGTGCGGGGAAGGGCAACGAACTAAATACAAAAAAGGTTAAGGTGCAGCCCTGCAATAACTTGTTCATGCCACCGCTGACAGAAGGGCCTTCAAGAAAGGGAACTCTAGAGGGCCTGTCTAGAGGTAATTTTGGCCTACTCTTCCACGTTGGCCCGACAACTTTAGAAGAGGTGTGAATACCCACACTTTATCCCACCACACGTGACCTACCCATCCACTCGGTTTGGTGGACCCATTGACATCGCTGGGCTGATCGAGGCAGTGGAGTGGTGGCTAATACATGTGCTCAATATGTCAACTGCGGCACCAGGAGGATCAGATCAAACCAGCGACTATCTGGATTGGAAATAGAATGCACTCACCATTACACTTTGACAGCATTCCATAATATGTGGCACTCTATGTTAAGGAAACAATCACATTTTACTTGTATAATTATCATTATAAGTACACCGTGATCTTCATTGACGTATGCAATGTCAGTACGCCACATCCACATAGCTTGACTGTGGAACACTGTTGACGAATGTCACGGCGGGCAATTATTTTTTTTTAAACATTCTTAAGGTTATGTGACCACTCTCATTATCTCAGTTACAGAATACCAAATGACAATGGATATGAAAATATACAAACAGAGCATACGTCTCCTTCATTATTTTGTCTCTCCGTGTAACAAAAACACGTACACAACCCATCAGCCCGCCGGGAGTTCATACTTTTGGAGAGCATCATTTAATAAGCGTTGAGTCAAAACTCTGGACAGTTTGACATCGAGTGTCTCATCAGCAGAGGCAGACATGCTTGAGGCAATGCTCGACAAAAACGCTTCATAAATCTACATGATTAGATCAAAAATAGATGTGATAGGCAATTACTCTGTCATGAAGGTATGGGTCCTATTTCGATGCAAAGTTAAAGAGTGCATAACAAAACATATTGATGATCGACATCCTCGTAGAGAACATATGCAACAATTCACCAGCTTCTAAAAAACATTCTTATATTACGCAGAGAGACAGACATATAAAGGAAGGTATATTTTCTGATTATCAATGTTGCCACATTCTACACGACGACGAGATAGTAATGGGTGGAGGGGCGAGGGGAGGGAAGAGGAAGGGAATGAGTGATGGAGAAGAGGTGAGGATTTGTGAGAGGAACAGAAGGAGGTTACGGAAGGGGGCTGCTTAATGTACAGGGGCAGTGCTGAGTATGGGCAGTGTTGAGTCTATGGGCAGTGTTGAATATGTGGGCAATGTTGAGTCTGTGGGTAGTGCTGAGTATGTGCAGTGTTGAGTCTATGGGCAGTGCTGAGTCTATAGGCAGTGTTGAGTCTGTGGGTAGTGCTGAGTATGTGCAGTGTTGAGTCTGTGGGCAGTGTTGAGTCTGTGGGCAGTGTTGAGTCTGTGGGCAGTGTTGAGTCTGTGGGTAGTGTTGAGTCTGTGGGTAGTGCTGAGTATGTGCAGTGTTGAGTCTGTGGGTAGTGCTGAGTCTATGGGCAGTGTTGAGTCTGTGGGTAGTGCTGAGTCTATGGGCAGTGTTGAGTCTGTGGGCAGTGTTGAGTCTGTGGGCAGTGTTGAGTCTATGGGCAGTGTTGAGTCTGTGGGCAGTGTTGAGTCTGTGGGGAGTGCTGAGTCTATGGGCAGTGCTGAGTCTATGGGCAGTGTTGAGTCTGTGGGCAGTGTTGAGTTTGTGGGCAGTGTTGAGTCTATGGGCAGTGTTGAGTTTGTGGGCAGTGCTGAGTCTATATGCAGTGTTGAGTCTATGGGCAGTGTTGAGTCTATGGGCAGTGCTGAGTCTATAGGCAGTGTTGAGTCTATCGGCAGTGTTGAGTCTGTGGGCAGTGCTGTTCAATGTACAAGGGAAGTTGATTCTAGTGGAAGGGGACACGAGAAGAAGAAGAGAACAACAGGAGTCCAGACGGGTAAAGATCAGGGCTTGATTTAGAAGTTTGGCAGAAATTAAAATGAGAGGCCGGATCGTCCTGATGTCGAACAGACGAAGGCAGCAGATACGAGTAGTAGAGGCGATGTGGGTGGAAAGAGTGAGGGAAGGGTTAAAGGTGACACCAAGTGTGAGGGCAGAGGAAGCAGGAGTATAAGAGAGAGAAAGGAGGAGATGGTGGGAACGGGAGGAGGATAGCGAGAGGCAGGGAACAAAATGTTGGTGAGGCGATGTAAATGATATCGTTCACTTTTACAACTAAATGTTGACTGAATCAGAATTGATAAAAATGACCCAAAATCAACTACGTTTATATTTTAATCCTATACCACTCTGCTGCAAACAAGTCGGGTAGGATAGTCATCAAGTCAGGCTATCGATTAGGATAGTGATTGGGCAGGATAGTGATAAGGCATGGTAGTGATAGGGCAAGATAGTGATCAGGGACTTGACCCACAACCGAAAGCTTGTAAGTTCAAATCCTCGTCAGAGGGTTGATCCAGCATATCATATATCTGGGATCGATACATATGCAGTGACATCGCGGGATGTCAACGTGCAGTGCCCTAGAGGGGCCCGGTGAGCGCTGATTTATAGCGCTCGATGGCACCACGCTTTGCGTGCAGTGCCGACCCTACAGGACAGGGTGTGTGGGTGCGGCCGTGGATAAGGTTACTCGAGGCCATGGCACTCTGGTTGATCCGGGAGGACACGTGACCAGTTAAGTCTACAAAGGGGCCCCAGGTGGGGGCTAGGGGTGGTCACGTGATTGAGACCCAGATCCTTCCCGAGGATTCTGGAAGGTGGTCGTGGCCAAGGGCGGAGCCGGCCACACCGCAGAGAATATAAGCCGCGTCCCGAGAGGGACCGGGATTGTTGTTCATCCTGGAAGAAACCTTCGCCTACATTCTCCGTTCAACGAGTCTCCAACACGTGGACCCAGACCCAAGCTGTTGGTCCCGGTCCGTAGTAGCAGTTACGTTGTAATTAGTGTAGTTCGCCTGGTGATCACCACCATAGGTTGTTATTCTCTTAAGGGGAAGTTCTAGATTTGAAACTTTCGTGACTGCCAGGATTCATACTCTTAGGGTGTTTTTTTCGGTAAAGTCACGTAGGTAAAAAATAATAATAAAATAAAATAATACAATAATAATAATTTACAGTAAATTTAGCTGTGACGGTCCCACCTGAAGACGGAGACTTGTGTTGCCTCCGAAACGTCGTGATTTATTATTATTTTATTATTTTTTACCTACGTGACTTTACCGAAAAAAACCTCAGAGTAAGGGGAAGTTACCCCGTGTGTTGGAGTTTAATAAATGTGTTGCCTCCAAGTCTACGTCTGCGACTCAATTGAACCCATTACACATATTTAAGAGCACATTGCTTAAAGTCAACTGTATCATCATCCGGTTAATAGACGTGCCCCATATATCGTGGACGTGTTCATCACTGTCTTAGGGCTGACAAGATGCGAGAGCGATAAGAATGCGTGTCGCATGAGACTAACGTATACGTAATGCAGAGGACTACACTTCAACATTTTTTTTGTTTACCAATGTAAGCAACCAACTCTTAGCCAAACACTGAAGGTGATAGATACAATCTGACAGTGCAACATAACACCTATAGGATTGATTTTTTAACTAATTGAGAATCCCCCCACCCTGCCCATTAGCACTCCTTAGTGGCCTTGCATGGCAGACCTGAGTCGTGATGAAGGCACCCAGGGTGCACTGCAACTTCACGCTTCAACACAACGCATACATTTAACCCAGTTGAGCAAACATCACCTGCCATGCTAACAGGTCGCGAATGACAACATTAAAACGTGCAGCACATGCAATGCATGTTTTCTGAGCCCAACAGTATCATCATCATCATCATTCTAAGATGTGCGTTTTCCACTTGTACGCTAAAGTAACGTGGGGATGCGTCTTATCACCCGTTAAGTAACGTGGGGGTGCGTCTTATCATCCGTTGAGTTGTTTATGTGTGACCTGATTTGTCTGCAGAAACTGGATTGACACCGGGCATACGTTTGGGTCCCGTTTTACTTTCCGGAGTTTCTTATAATCCTGAAAATACAATGCGGATCATATCAATGCTTGCCATAAACATGACTTTATATGTGGTGTATGAATTATAATGAAAACGCATGGTATTGGCCAGCTTTTCTTAAGTCATACACAATTATGTTGTTGGTTTTTGTTGTGTTTCAGCCTCGTTTAACCACAAGGTTTTTTTGCTAAACTACAGAATTCATAAAATGCATGTTTAAAAAAAAAAACAAGTTATGTGCATGATAGAAGCTCACCGCTGCATAGGGCACCTCAACCAAATGACAAAGCTCGCACACAAACCGGCTTCTGGCGAATGTTTAGCGACAACACAGTCGCTCTGGAAACTGCCGAGATCGCGGCTCTTCCCGTGAGACACCGGTGACTTGAGGTCGCCGGGTTGTGACGGCGCGTGTGCGCACACCGGTGCGGTGTGCATGGTGTGCATGGTGTGTGTGTGGTGTGTGTGTGTGTGGTGTGTGTGTGTGGTGTGTATGGTGTGTGTGTGTGGTGTGTATGGTGTGTGTGTGTGTGGTGTGTATGGTGTGTGTGTGCATGGTGTGTGTGTGGTGTGTGTGTGTGTGTGTGTGTGTGTGTGTGTGTGTGTGTGTGTGGTGTGTGGTGTGTGTGTGGTGTGTGTGTGTGTGGTGTGTGTGTGTGTGGTGTGTGTGTGTGGTGTGTGTGTGGTGTGTGTGTGTGTGGTGTGTGTGTGTGTGTGTGGTGTGTGTGTGTGTGTGGTGTGTGTGGTGTGTGTGTGGTGTGTGTGTGTGGTGTGTATGGTGTGTGTATGTGGTGTGTGTGGTGTGTGTGTGTGTTGTGTGTGTATGGTGTGTGTGTGTGTTGTGTGTATGTGTGGTGTGCATGGTGTGTGTGTGGTG